AAACGATTCATCTGGTTTCTAAAATTTTCGTCAATTATTTTTAATCCAGGCCAATCTTGGTTAAAACATCTTTCTTTTAGTATATTGGGTATAATCTTTCTGAGGGGATAGCCGTACTTTTCAGCTGCTAATAAATAACTTATATCATCATCTCCCAGCTGCATTTCGTTACTGTAAAAGCAATCATATTTTGAATTAAGTGTACACGTTGTACAAAAAGTTATGTAACAGTGTTAAAGATATAAATAGTGACAGTTCAACATAAAAGAACATAACAACTCACTCAGCATTAGATTTCTCCGGGCCTTTTTCCTTTCTCTTTCGTTTTCTGATAATCACATGCTCGATCTGTTGAGTCATCTACAAGTCTGACACTTGTTGTCGCTTTTTAATTCCACTGTGTCTCTGTTGCTATTTGTCCCCGTTAGTTTGCTAGTGTCTCCTTCTAATTGTTTTGCATCTGGCAGGAGAACAGCACCATCGTCTTCAATAAGGTGATTCTTTATGTTGTCCTGTCTGTTTCGGATCCCTCTACTAACTGTGCGCTGCTCTCATATGCGTACATTTGCCTTACTGTTTTTAACCCTGAACCTTGCTTTCTTTGAACACTGTACAAAAGTCACTTTCAGAATCACCTTCTTTCACCTCCACTTACATCGCTGACGAGATCCCTTTTTGTGATTGAATACTATCTTTAATTTGCTCAACGACTTTAGAGATCCAAAAATCTGTTTCCTCAGCCTTTGCATTCGATACTTCACTTTCTGTCACATCTTTTAGAGCAACCATATTTCTTTGCAGAAATCCGAACCAACACTTTCACCACGACTATAATGTGTTTCTCTAAGCCTCTTTGCTGTTTCATATTCCATTCCTTTTGGGGACCCAAACGCAGTGGTCGCCACAAGGAAACAATGGATGAACTTTGGAACAAAAATTCTGCATGTCACGATCTTTGGAGTCGTCATTATTAGACTCACTTAAACGCAACTGTTCTTCATTCACAATGCCTTCATCAGATACGTGTTTTAAATCGTCAACATGCTCTAAATTACAATCCATGGTGTTTAAGGTTTCCTCTGTGTATTGCTTTGTCTCATGTATCAGGTCTCCTTTTAATTCTTTTTTGTATTTCAACCTGAACCAATGGAAAGAAGGTCCTCTTTCCTTTCATTTTTTTCACATTGTATGAACACCGACACGACACTTCGGTCGGACTTAGCGCGACCAAAGGACACCGTCAACCCGGCTAAACAGGATGGCGTTGTCTACAGGATTCCCTGTGA